CCCTGTGCTCTTTGTTACCACAGAATAAAGGGCAACTCCTTGGCATGCAAGACCCCTTACAGTTTATTATATTGCTCATGGAGGGCTTCCCTCCATGAGTGGGGATGGAGGACAATAAACTTCTGAGGGCTTTGGGTCCCTGAGAGTCTAGGTTTCCACATGAGAAATGCTATGGAGCAGCAGAGGGTTCCTGAACCCTGCTCTCAGGGGTATGGGTTTCAGGCATAGACATGCTGGCTTAAAAAATAAGGCCCGGCCCAAATCACCTGGCCCACCTCTGCCCTGTTTTCCCAGTCTTCCCACCTTCCCTTGTTCCAGCTGTCACCCGCCATGCTCTCTTCTGAGCAAGTCAGCAGACCTCAGTGAAGGCCTTACTGGGGTCACCACCGCCACCGCCAGCCAGAATGTGGAAGACACGAACTGCAAAGTACACACTAGGTCAGGGAAGCATAGTCTCACCAGCAGGCTGACTCCAAGATTTTTTATTCTGAAGTAATTATACATTCACAGGAAGTGGTTAGAGAAAATATACACAGAGTTCCCTTGCACACCTCACCCCTCCATCCCCAACATCACCAGCATCCTGCACAGCGTGCAGACTCACTACCACAAAACTGACAGTGGTGCATCCTGTCTCACACACACGGTCATTGTCCTGTGGCCACGTGTGCATCCCGCCACACACAGTCATTGCCATGTGGCCATGTACGCATCCTGTTACACACAGTGTCACTGTCATATGGCCGCATGTGAAATTCCAGGCAACTGACCACAGGTGTGGCTTCGGTGGCCAGAGCCCCAATCACGATGTTGAACTGCCCCCTCGCCACAGCCCCTGTGCTGACTGGTTATAGGCGCTCTTCTCCCCGCCCCCCCAATCTAGTCCCTGGCAATGAGTAACCTGGTTTTCCTCTTCTACTGTCAAGAATGCTGTATAAGTGGGATCACACAGTTCATGACCTCCTGAGTTCGCCTGTACACTCGCCATACTTCTCTGGAGGGTTGTCCATGTTCTTGCATGTCTAACCGTCTGTCTTGTCTGATCCTGCATGGAATTTGCCAGCAGCTACAATTAGTATTGCATCCGCAGTGGTGGCTTATTTTCCCCATCTTTTTCTATGCGTTCAACGAACAGCGAGTTCCTACTATATGCGAAAAAGGCACCAAGGATAGAGAGATGAGTTAGATAGATTTCTGACTCTTATCAGCTTAAAGTCTGGAGGAAGTCTGCCAGCTCAGTAAGCCTACAAGTTGGTTCATAGACAAAATGGAAAAGAGTGATGCTTCCAGATTGTCTGTAGAAAGGCCCGAATAGTGTGATCTGCTCAGGGTATTTATGATGGGTAAGGGTTAAGGGAAGGTAACCAGTGGACTGTCTTGGAATACTGCTTATACAGCTCTTTATGACACTGAAGGAAACTGTAGTTTCCTGCTGTAATGCCCATGTTACAACTTGGGGAGGGGGAGAACTGAACCAAAGCTGAATAGAACTGCACTGGAAATAAAGTGCCAGCCCCACTTTTCCAAAGCATGATGGCGCCAAATCCCCTCACCCCGCTTTGGGCTGCAGACAACTGGCGGTTTCTCGTTGTGTGCTGGGGGCTCCCAGATGGCTCCCAGAGCTACCACTGCTTCCCGAGTGTGCTGATAGGAGGTGACTATTCCAGTCCTCCCACCAGACCCAGCTGCTCTGGGCTGTGGATCAGAAAACTGGGTGGAAGGAGGAAAGTAGCCAGAAAGAAAAATAAAGGGAACTAGGTGCAGATATAGCATTACCCTCATTTATGAATAAATGAGAGAAAATTCAGCCTGGAGCCACTGGAAGAAGCTCTTAGGGCCCTGCTAGTTGTGAGGAATTTAGCTTCATTCTGAGCAATAAAAGAACATTCTGGCCCTGACTGGTGTAGTTCAATTGGTTGAATGTTGTCCTGAAAAGTGAAAGGTCACTGGTTTGATTCCTAGTAGGGCACATGCCTGGGTTGCAGGGGGATCCCAGGTTTGGGGCGTGTGTGAGAGGCAATTTATCGATGTTCCCCTCCCTTTCTCCTGCTCTTAACCTTCTCTCTAAAAAAAATAAAATCTTAAAAAAAGAGAGAGAACATTCTATGCTGATTCATTCTTTCCCTTCTCCACTGTTTGTCACAGCTCACCAAGCATTCAAGGATTTGATTTTCAGCTGGGAAGACTTGTCCATTGGGTCTCCCACTCTACTACTCTCTGGCCTCTTAGAATCCCTCTTCTCTTCCTTCTAATGAGGGCTACTACCTGGGGATTGCTGAAGTGGGGACACAGGGACCCATTCCGTCCCGATTTCTTTGACATAGTGCTGCGGCAGTCAGCTTTCCCTGTCCACACTGACCTGGAGGGCATTCATTCGTGTAGTGTTTGGCTGTCGTGATTCCCAGGAATAACACGTGTTTCTGAGTGCGAAGGGAAAACAACACCTGAGTGAGAAGAATGTATATGGAAATGCACAGGTAAAGAGAAGAGGAAGGACAATGGGAAATTCATTGCAAAGCTAACGAAGCTTAAGCATCTGGGCCCTTTCTAAGATCCTGGGTAAAACCTTAGTGATGTGTTGATGTGCTCCTATGTAAAGTTGCCAAAAGGGAAACATAACCCTGCCATTTTCCTGGAAGAGAAACAGACCAAAAATACTTGGTAATCAGCACTACTTGACTGCCAGTCATGATCTTAAGTATTTTAAAGGTTCTTGAAAGAGATGCGTCTGTAATGTCAGCCTGCCACCTGTGTAAGTTTGAGCAAGACACTTACTCCACAATTCATTATGGTCACCTATAAAATTAGGTTAATAATATTAATATTTGAGAGTTTTAGTGTACTGTGGCCTGAGTCCTTTATATGCATTTTTTCACTTGGTTCATCCATCCTTCTATGAGGCAGGAAGTTTATCTCCAACTTACATAGGAGGAAAACAGCCAAAGAGAATTTAATGGCTTTGCTTCAAGTCGCTGAGTGGCAAAGCTGGCGATCAGATGTGGACACAGGAGTCTGAACCCAGAGCCCAGGCCTGCCTCACAGTGGCTATCGTAGTTGTTCTTTTCAGCAGGGTTGTTGCTCGATGCAATTCCAATCAATTTAACACAAGAAATATCTCTCGAGTGCCTATTCCGGTGAGGACTCCCTCGTGAAAATCAAGAGATATATAGGATAATTTATAGGAAAGTGCTTGGGAGAAGTCCTAGTGATTTTTAAATAAAAGAACAAGTAGATAAGCACTAAAGCAATAAGTAAATAAGTGCTCTTAATTTATCAAGTCTGTAAAGAATGAAGAAGAAATTGTAATGGGTAACCTAAACATTCTTCTGTTGAAATGTACATACAGTTGAAGCAATGAGCTCTCCCCTCCCGCTGTGGCAGTACTGTGATGGGGGGTAGTGTGAGAGATACTGAGGAGTTCATACAACTTGGAAATGCAGTTTTGACTGAAGTTGTCCTTTACGACCATTGAGACTACTCGTGCCCCAGAACACTCCTGCATGTCTTCGTTCTCACTGCCAAATGCTGAAAATTGTTTCCTAGTTACCAGCCATCTCAGTCCATAAGGTCCAGCCAAGTTAAGTTAGTTAGTTACCTGCACGCATTGTACACCTAATACAGAGCCTGGCACAGATGTTTTCCTTAACACGTGTCTGTTCTGCTTCTTTGGTTACATTTTTGGAAGAGCCAACAAACGATGGTTCAGCTTAAAGTTCACTATATTCTTCATCCAGGGGTCAAATCCCTTGCCAGGCTGTTGGGAACCTGTATTCTGAATAATAGCTCGGGAGGGTAGTGCAGAATGTATTTGTAATAACTAGCATTTTATCATCCTCTTACAAGAAGCATACATAGTAAGACACCGTAACACCAGTTTTTGCTTCAGGTCAGAATTGGAATGCCAGAGAGCAGCCCACTCACTAGGAAGGCCTTCGAATTTCACAGTGGATGTCCTAAGCACAGGTCTAGTTTTGCTCTTATCTACTCTTTCCTTTTACGTTCCAAGTTCAGGTTCAAATTGCCTCAGACCTTGACTACTTCAAGAACCTATGGACTGCGTATGCCTTTCTCTACTCATATCCATTCCACACATACATTCCAGAATGTTCTTATGCATGGATTAATCTCATCAACTCCTCCTCACTAAAAACTTCCTGTGACTCCCACTGCTGACAATAAAACTCAAATCTTGGTTTTCACAGCCCTCTCTCCCATCTTCTGCTTCCGTTTTCTTTCCCATGCCAACTCCAAAGCACAAAACGAAAACCAAAGTGTTAACAGCTCCCACACAGATTCTTCCTTTTCCTGCCCGAAACCAACTTCCTTGGTTCCCTTTTCTTAAATGTTTAACTTGAATTCCGACTATCTCCATGAATCCCTTCCTATGTTATCACTTTTTCCAGTTCACTGTCTCTTCTGCAGAGCGATCATTTCCTTGCACTCAGCTACTAAATAAGGCCTTCAGAAAATTAGGCAGTGCCAGCCATGGCTCCTTTCAGAAACTATGCATTCAAAACAGAAAATACTTGTCACAGCTAAAGATGTGTATTTCGGGCTCTCTAAAGACTGACCTGTATTTAACAAGTGCCTTGGGCATTTTTTTTTTTGACAGGGATGAGGGCATAGAGTGACGTAATGACCATTTATAACAGGGTTCTCTGACAAGTCTCCATTTTTGAGTATGACTTTAAATCTATTTTCATAAATCATAAACAATGCTTAGTTTACAAAGCTATCAGTAATCTAAGGGGCTTATTTTCTTCAAGCCAGTTAGGTCAAGGAGAGATTCTTTATTATTATTCAAAAATCTAGTTAAGTATTTAATTAAATATGATAAAAAATTTAAAAACAGTGGCAAAGGCTTAGTTACAGTAATAAAATAAAAATCAAGTTCAGCAGAACTCAAGACGGTACAGAAAGGGGCAGGTTTATTTATCAATGCAGTAATTAAAAATACTTAAAAAGAGGAGCAACTTCAAAAAAGAAAACAGAAACACAGATAAGAAAAAATATACTCAAAGTATTTATTAGAAAGGGTTATAGAAATTTTGAATGCCATCCCAAACTACATGATTCTTAAAAAAGAAAGCAACAACAAAAATTCAAAGTCCCAAGTGACCTCAGTGACTGTCCTTGAGTCAGGGAGTCCAGACCCCAGATACCACTGAGTCACAGGAACAAGGTCTTCCTGACCCTAGTTTTATCATGATTGGTGTTCAGAGGTGTGCTCTACAGGCAGTGCACCCGCAGAGCCCTTCCACACCTGTAGCTGAGGTGCAGAGGACAGGAAAGAGAGGAGGCCGTTTTCTCTCCATTTTCCTTTCCCATGCCTTTGCTTTACAAATAGGAAAAACCCTCCATGGAAGTACCCAGATCCCTGGAAGAGGACCCAGTGATCCAGCCAAATGCAGACAAATCGAGGTGATGCAGATCCAAGAGAGGCCCATGGTTTGGTGATGTGTCTGCACTGGTCACCTGTGTGCAACAGGAAAACAAGGTAGTGTGTCCTTCTGTGACACCCCCCATAGAGGCGGCTCCTCCAGCTCTCTGAAGACGCTGCACCACTGCCAACGCACAGTGAAGGGTCTGCCTAGAGGAGGCCTTCTGTCTAATCCATGACACCTCTGCAACAGAGCCGTCCACAAGGAGCTGCCAGAGGGTAAGTCAAGCTGCAAGTTAAACATCCTGCCAGAAGACGGAGCCTGGGCGCTACTCCTGAAGCAGGCTTCGAGAGATCAGCATCCTCATCACTTCATTGCTGCCTGTAAGGCGGGGCAAGCAGGAAGGAGTCAGTAGCAGCAGAGTCTGCCACCTTTGCAAGGCTCTGACCAGGGTGCTCCGAGCCTAGCTCAGGGCAGCATGGATGTGAGTGACAGCTGTTGCCTTTATCCCTGCGTGGACCAAATTACCTCAGACTTCTCGATGAACCACAGAAAAGTGTCAGAAAGTGAATTGAGTTACTTTTAAAAAACCTCTACTGAAGGTAAAAATGTTTAGATGGAGGAAGGGGGGAAGGGGGAGGGGTGGGGGAGGGGAGGGGAGAGGAGGAGGAGGAAGAGAAGAAGAAATGGTGTATATATAGTGTAATTCTATTTTTTAAAAAAATGAACTCTAAAAGCACAGAAAAAAACCAAAGGAGTTATTTTTGGATTTAAATATAAAAGGAGTGCAAAGTACTAATTCTGGATGTGGAAACATAAGAAAGTAAAAAAATGTGGAAACATTTTTTTACTTTCCCTATATTTTATAAGTTTTCAATAATAAATACACCCATTTCTTTGGTAATCGGAACACTCAATTTTAAAACATTCCCCTGAAAGCAGGTCAAACACTTGCTTCATTTTTACAGTGTCCTTTAAGGCAAAGAGAAATATGAACCTGCATGAGGGATAAATAACCACATTTCCAAAAAATCGAATCTAAAATTCAGATCTATCCAGTAACAAAGTCCATGATACAACAAAGTGATAAAGGTCAGTGCCCACATTTTTCTAGGAGTGGATGATGGTGTGGCCTGAAATGAATGCATCTGCCTTTTCCCATTTATTCTACCATGATTAAAAGACGGGGTTACGACAAAGGTAAAGCCTCCTGCACTCATAATGCTGGATGAAAAAGTAACTGTAGGAGTAGAGGAGAAAGACTCATTTACCATATTTTGCCGTATATAATGCACACCTGCATTTTTGGCCCAAATTTTCAGGAAAAAATCTTTTGTTGTAAATTTTTATTTCAACTACTTATTTACTTATATTTACATGTTTGTACTCCAGGGTATTATTTTGCACATGGATATCGTTACTGCTTTCTTGAGTTATACTTTTAATGCATAAGCATAAATAAAAGATTAAAAACGTTTATATAGCTATGGAATTACTACTAGCCATATATAATGCACATCATAATTTTTCCCTCAAAAATTTGGGCAAAAAAGTGCATATTATACACAGCAAATTATGGTAACTGGTGCGCTAGCAACTGAGCTCATGACCATACTTCAGGGATGAGGCGCGAGGCTGGGAGGCAGCAGATAACCTTGAGAAGCCTGTGATTTGGACATTCCACAAGAGCTGTGGGTCTCAGAGTATGGCTCTCAGACAAGCAGCAGCAGTCTCACTTGAAAACTTCCTACATATGCAAGTTCTCAGGCCACCCAAGGACCACTGAGTCAGAAACTCGGGGTGGGGGCGCCCAGCAATCTGTCTTCACAAACCCTCCTGGTGACTTGGTGACTCGCATGTGTGCTCAAGTTTGAGAAGGGTGCTTTGCAAGCAGCATGGACGCCAATGCTCAGAGGCTTCCACTATGGCCCATTAAAGCAGCTCCACACTATTTCACCGAGAGTCGCTGAGACGAGCCTGTGCCACATCTGCTTTTCCTGCACTGTCCCAGTGCCAGCTGCCTGCACTAGCTGGAACACAGGGGTGCAATTTCAAGACGCATGCCCTGGTGTGGAGAGTGGAGAAGGCCACGCCCTGAGTGTGACTCCAGTAGTTTGCACATTTCTCCTCCCAAAAGTCTGTGATTACCAAGAAGATACCCACATTCTAGGATTGAATTTACTGAGAAATCCAGTAGCAAAACTGACAAGATATCTTTTAGACCAGGGGTGTCAAGTTCATTTTTACCAGGGGCCACATCAGCCTCACAGTTGCCTTCAGAGGGGCAAACGTAATTTTAGGACTGTATAAATGTACCTACTCCTTAACAAGGGGCAAGGAGCTTGGTGCTGCTGCCGGGTAGAAACAAGGGCCGGATAAAACAAGGTGGAGGGCCAGATTCAGCCCGAGAGCCTTGTGTTTGCCACCTGTGTTTTAGACCATCTGGCTGATAATCAACTTGTGAAGGCCATGGTCATCAAATTGGCTCACATTCACCCTGTAAATTATTGTACGGACCACGTAGTCACTTTGTAACAGTAAAGAGCAGTCACTGCCAGAGTTTTCAGTGTTTTTTTTTTTTCATGTATTATCTCAGTTTCCACCTTCTCTAAAATTTGCAAAGAAAAAGATGAGAAGTGAAGTGAATTGATGGCCTACTCACGTGACCAAACAGAGCCTCCTGACTCCCTGGCTAGTGCTCTTTGCACAGCAGCAAGAGGCCCTTCCAGAGCAGGGTCAGGAAGAGGGAGGATGCCCTTGACATACAGGGCCAGGTGAAACGCTGAGACCAGCCATGAGGCTGGAGATACTGCAACCATTCAGAAAAGACGAGAATAACCTCTGGATGTTTACCTTCCAGTATCTGGTGGACCCTGGAGTCCCGGACATACTGCTGAACAGCACAGTCTTTCAGGTAGCCGTAGCCTCCATGCATCTGTAAGGCCTGGTTGCAGATCTGCAGGAAGACAGGGATGAGGCTTCTTGAACATCAGGAAGATTGGAACAAGTGGCTTGTCTCTCCACCCTCACGCCCAATCTGGCAGCCTGCTGTGGACTAATATGAGAAAGAACAACCTACAGATAACCAGCCAAGCAGGAAAGGGGCTCCATGTTCTCTGTGGCCAGAGACAACAAGAGGAGTTCACCAACTGAACTTGTTGGTTGCCACCAGACAGGCAAAGCAGAGACCCCTGTCTCTCTGGCTCGTAGGGAGGAGCGGCCTGCAACCACCACGGCTGGGATTCTATGAAGCTCAGGTGCCATCCAGTGGCAACACAGCCTCCATGTGGAAATGGCTTTGCCCCTGACACTGTAAACATGGCACATCTGAATGAGAGGCACTGGGCTATTCTGAACCTTCTTCCAAGGCAGATCACATCTAGACCACAACCAAGTGACAATGACAGAGTAAAGTGTGTACTGGCATGGGACAGGTAAAAAGCCAGTTATGAGAGCTCCCCTACAGGCCCCTCATGAGTGAACTTATACCCTTAAGCCCCCAGGTGACCCCTGAAGCATCCCGAGTTGACTTAAGCTTCTCAAAACAACTCAAACTACCAGTGTTCCCTGTTCACCCAGGAGAGCCACAGAGCATGCACTGCCACTTACAGCAAAACATTCATCTGTAGCAAAGAGCTTGGCCATGGAGCACAGGGCCACTGCGTCTTCCCGTTCCTCCTGCAGGGCCACGGCGGCACTGCGGATCATCAGCCGTGAGGCCACCAGCCTGGTTGCCATGTCAGCCAGTTTGAACTGCAGGTACTACAGCAATAGGGAAAAGAGAGCCAGACAAGACAGACAGGCTTAGAGCAGCACCTGATCTGGGGCCCTCTGGAAGACATCTCTGTAAGGAATCTTCCCAAAGTGACTCGAAGCCTCAAAGCCTCCTGCCTCTTCTACAGAGAAAATGTACTGCCTACAAGTTCTAAGTCCACTTCTCTTGCCCTGCACTTATAGTACTGCCTCTGGGAAAAATTACTGTTAGACAGACAGCACCAATTCTGGCTCAGATGGAGGCAGAATTCCACTTTCCTGGAGAATGTGGGCCCCAGAGCAGGTTTCCTGCAAAGACTGGGAAGCAAAGCAGAGACACCTGGGCACTTACCTGGTTACTAGCCAGAGGCTCTCCAAACTGCTTCCGGACGTTGAGATGGTTTCGGGTGAGAATGAGAGCAGCATGAGCAGCCCCAAGAGAACAAGAAGCTGCAAAGGAAGGGAGCTGACGCTGTGATGGAGCTGGGAGGACGCCTGCCCACCCCCCGCCTCACGGCCGCCCCTTCGTGTTCTCACCAACGTTGATCCTCCCTCCGTTCAGTCCTTTCATGGCAATGAGGAAGCCCTGCCCCTCGTTCCCAATTCTGTTGGCCACAGGGACGACGCAGTCCTCGAAGATGACAGCTCGGGTTGGCTGTGAGTTCCACCCCACCTGGCAAAAATCAGGGAGTGCATGGCTGCACAAGCATTCGCTGCTCGGGGCAGTGCTGGACGAACCTGGGCAGCACAGGCTCCGCTTCCCTGAGACCAGACCCTTGAGAACTTAAAATGAGGGAAAATGAACGTTCAGATTTAAATATTTGACAGGCATTTTTCAGCTAACCATCTTTAACATGTTAAAAGCATCTATTCTAATGTTCACTCTACTAGATTAAACTACTCACAGATGTTTCTCATAATTTCGTTTAGGGTTGAGGAGGGGCTGTCATCATTTCCGGTGCCTCTCTGTATGTACAATGCCTTAGACAATATAAGAATTACTAATCTTACAAGATATATATAAGAATTATTTGTCCTTATAAAAGGACATTAGCATTATTAACAATAGCCACACTTCTCCTCTCACAAGCTTAGTGTTCTAGGATGTTATAAATAACCTGCACGGTACTGGCCACACCTAGTTCAGCATTAGCTGCAGAGATGCGGTGATGTGCCGGCACCAGTGCCCAAGAGACAAGCACGTCTTTTCCTAGCCTGGCTTTCAGTGACGTTGGTGGCCTGACGTCAGCCACGGTGGGAGGATTACACCACAAAAACTGGCGAACTAGGAGAGTCTGGTGGGGTGGTTGGCTTTCCCAAATAGCTGATTTACCAGAACATCCCTGAATATGTCAGTCACAAGTCCCAGAGAAAATTTTGAATACCTAAGATATAGTCCATGTCATGCAACCAACTAGCTGTATTCTTCATCATTCACCAAATTACTGGGCTTTTTTGTGGTCTTGGTTTTTCCTTAAGGGAGTTGCACTAGAAAGCCAGCAGAGCTACCTTCATCAAATAAAATCTTATTCCGATGTTTCCTATATAAATAGAATAGGACTCTCACTACTCGACTCCTTCACTTCCTCTTCCAGCTCCTTCCCAAGGCTTCAGGGAACTCTGAGGTTCGGTGACGCAGACTTTAAAATAACACTATATAAAATCTCCCAGTTCCTTAGCTCTCTGAAAATACTGCTGTCTTTACATCACTACCACTTCCTTATATAAAAACATTGAATAGGTCCCTTTTGTTAGATGATAAACTTTATGCCTCAGCCCTTTAGTTAAGGTCTTCTAAAATGCAGCCCAACCCTCTCTTCCCAGCCTTCTCTTCCAGAGGTCACCTGTAAGTATTCTCCACTTAGAAGCTGGAGCTACTAGGCAAGCTGGTTTACGCACGGAGCTACTGGGTTTTTAGACCCATACTTTGCTTATCCTGCTCCCTCTACTGGAAATACAGCCTAGTCCCAACCTCCGTCAGTCTAGTTCAATGAAGCCTCCTGAGGTCTTCCCAGTCACTTGATCCAGCAGCAATCTTGTTCTCTTTCAAACTCTGCCATCTTCTCAGGTTGCTAGCACCTGAAATAAAACCACTTTTCCTCCTCATCAGCACCTGTCACATGAATTTGGCTTTCGCGGTGGCCGACAGTTGGGCCTCTGGGGTCGTCTATAGCAGTGTCAGATTTGGTGAGCCAGCCAGGAGCAAATGAGAGCCTGTTGTAAGTCCTCAGACTTTGGAGGGGATTCCCTAGGCTGCCTGTGGCTGACTGGCCCTGAGATAGACCTTGGGAGTCCCTAACAGTTGCCAAGTGAATTCACTCAGGGACTATCCCTCACTTTCTCTTGGCACTGGTTGCTTGCTATGCCCTGCTGGGAAAGGAATAGAAGGTGAAGGGACTAGCCAAAAAATATTTATGCATGCCCCATGGACGACAATGGTGTGGGGACTGCATAAGAAAGTGGGGTGGCTGGGTAGAGAGGGGCAAAAGGGGAAACACTGAGACAAGTGTAATAGCATGAACAATATATTTTTAAAAATACCTAATAAAAACAGAAATAGATATAACTAAAATGAACAGTTTTTGATAAAACTTTTCTATAATAATTACATATATCCAAACATAATTTTCCAAAGTCTGTGGTAACTTAAAACTTCAGAATTTTGCTACATTAAATGATGAAAATTATTAAATAACTGGATATTCTGAAATAACAATATTGAAATATTAATTGATCTAAGTTTGCCTGCTTTTGGCTTCTTCTTGCAAAGAAAATAGAGGATATATTTAGATCTGTTAATGAATATATCTTGTACTTTATTTGAAGTATGTCTTTTGACAATGTGAGTGTGTATGCAAATAAAAAAAGTGTTTCTAAAAAGTTATGGAATGCGTTCATAAAAGTATCAATCTAAAGAATGTGAATTACTTACTTTCAGTTCTCATTTAAAAAAATCAAGGTTTCTTACAGTTAAGAATTCTAATTAAATTAGAAAGAAATTGTATGGTTTCATAATAAAAGATACAAGGTATAATAGTACTTGTTAAAGAAAAAATAAATTGCTCTAAAGCTGGTTATTTCTGAATGGGTAAGAAGGCTTATAAATAGAAATCTTAATAGGAAATTAAATAAGTAAGCTGAATAATGAATTTAAGTAGGTAAATTAATCTAAATATCAAAAGTAAACTAATACAAAATTTGTTTGGTTCCTTTTCAGTCCATTAAAAAAAAAAGTTTTTTCTGTATCTGCCTAGAAAGCAAAGATGCTATATATTATTAAATTAGTTGTGTCATATTATATTATCAGGTACTTAATTATTTAAAAACCCATCTTTTTAATTCTAAGAACTATAGTTTTGCTAATCTGTGCTTGTGTTTGAAAACTTTTGTTGTCACTTTTAAAAAATGTATTTATTTATATATTTTAGAGAGAGGGAAAGGGAGAGAAACATTGACGTGGGGAAACATCAGTCAGCTGCCCCCTACACACCTCCAACCAGGGACCCGGCCTGCACACCAGGTGTGTGTCCTGGTCAGGAGTCGAACTGGCGACCTTTTGGTTTGTGGGAAAATGCCCACCCCATTGAGCCACAGTGGTCAGGGCCTTTTGTTGTCACTTTGAGTAAATAAATAATTTAATATTGTTTCATAATAACATATAATCATTTAGCCAAGTATGTTTGACAACCTTCCCAGAGTTTACATTTTAAGACTTCTTTTGAGCTAGAACTGGCTTTGAGTCATCCCAATGGGCCCTTGGAATACCTCAAGGATTTGTTCTCTCTCCTTATAAAGAAATTTTAAACTGATTAGGCCTTTTTCAAATACTTAAGTACATGGGAAGCTTTGTCAAATTAAAAAAATAATAACCATTGTATGTTTTATTTGTATACATGTATTTTATCATTAAAATAACTGTTCTAGAGACTATATAAAAATCTCCAAGAGTCTACAAAGTTATAATGTACTTTCATTTGTAATTTCAACTGTTATCTTAAAAGGTTATTAAAGAAAAGCAAATTCCTTTATCAATGGCATTATAATCAGATCTATAACTATGTCATTTTAAGTTTTTTCCGTCATTTACAGAGAAAGTCATTGTTTTGCTATGATGCATTTTCAAATATGTTACACCTTCAGAAAAATCCATGGAAAGGACTCGGACTTACTCTAAATTACATATTTCTGAGAAAAATTTTCAGATCAAACCTTTGAACTGAATGAAGATCAGTAGAACTCTGTAGAATAACTGGATCTATGGATATACTGGCAAATCAGAAATAATAAAGACTGATTATGGAACTGAATGAACTAAAAATAATTATAATTTTTATAACTTTTTGTTGAAAATATTGCTAATTGGTAATCTTTTGTTTTCCAGATATAAGGGAAGTTGTTTTTTTCTTAAAGCAATTTGGTAAATTATACCTTCATAAGCAATACTGAGACATTTATTTTTTCTCCCCTCCTAATCCCTCCAGAATTACTATTTTCATAGCGATATACTTGTTTGCATAAACCCAGTAGGAATTTCATTTCTTCAAAAGAGGACACATAAAGCCAGTTTTATGTACCAAGACTTTGACTGGAATGTCATGTCTGAGTGAGACATGACTAGACTCTCGAGGTCATCAGAAAGTTTTAAGGAATGAAGACTGACTTTGAAGCTGATACAAGCCCTTGGACAAATGACCTGGTACTTTGCTCATTCATGTGGTTGGTTCACGGCAGGCTTTCTAGGTAAGAAGTGATGGTGCTTTCTTGGGACCTAGCAAAGAAGAACCACAAGGGCTTGAGGAATGCACCCAAATCTGTAGCTCTTACAGGCAAAGCTGGATGGTAACTGTGTGGCTTGGCTTCTTTGTCCTGAGAAGCTAACTGAAGCTCAATCTGAAATTCCTTATAAGGTTCCAGCAAAGTGGATTTAAGAAAGCTTACATAATCAACTGGTATTCCTGTTGTGTTTATGCAAATATTAGGCTGAATTGAAACCAGGATTAATGCAATAAATGAATTGATTTGGCCCTTTGATAAAAACAAGTATGATTTTAGGGAAAGAAAAATTGTATTTCCCTGAGACCCTAGGGAAAGATAGACTCTATCTACACAGTTATGGACATTAGTTGTAGTTCAGTTAATTGTCTTCCAAGTTTTATTTCTCATTTATGAAATAAACTGGATCCTGAATTTTCTAGCTTCTGCCATATAATACGGACATGTGTACACGGTTTGTCCCCACGAGGCCACAGCCCTCCTTGCACTCAGGGAACGCCCCCTCCAGACGCCGTCGCCACCCCCTTCCATGCCGGTCCTCACCCCCCCGACAGAGAGCAAGAACTGCTGGCCCAGCAGAAACACATCACCCTTCTCCCACAGAGAAGTCATGGAAGAGATCCTGCATTATCCCCTGAAGGCTTCAGAGCCAAGATCCTCGAGGGAGGAATGGGACAGGCGGTTACCCAAGACTGCAGCAAGGCCATGTACAAAAGGTCACCAGGGTGTAAAGCCTCATGTGACTAGGAAAAGGGATAAACAAAGGAAGATAAGTAAAATAAGGGGGCCCAAGGACTCCTCTGGACACCTCCCAACCCATCATTAGGAGCCCCGGGTACAACTGATAGTGGGGAACAAACTGACTGCCTTTTTTAGTAGACGCTGGAGGCACTTACTCAG